ATGGCTGATTATTTGGCAGGACTGGATGCTCTCCAATCAGAAGGATGTGGAAAACAAAACAAAAAAAAGAGGTTAGATATTTTACAGCTGTTCTATATATAGAAGTCTGAAGAAGAAAAAAAAAAATAATATAATAACCCTGACTTTAGAACTGGAGAAGAATGGATGAGAACAGAAACCCAGTGCATCGTACTTGGAGAAAAAAAAAAAAAAAGAAACATTTTTCAAATTTTTCTCGTCATACTGGGAAGGGGAGGGGGGAGGCGGGCGAAGGGGTGAGACAAGGAAGTATTTCTCAAAGCCAAGTCTTCACCGAAACAAGATGAAAACCTTGATGGATCAATCCATTGGGCCAAGACCTGTTGCTAACGGTTACACAAACGCTAGAACAAACAAACTTACACTCACACATACACAAGTTAAGTGTTTTAATTCATGCCAGAAAACATGCAAAACCCATTGCCTTTCATTTCCTTCAGCCGAGCTGCCGGGGCAGGGCGAGCCCAGGGAAGCCCAAGATCGAGCTCCACCCCAGCTGGGTTTCGGCACAGCCAGACAGCGAAGCTCAGTCGGGGAGGATGTCCTGGGGATGGAGGGAGGGATGGTGGGATGGATGGAGGCAGGGCACGGCCTGCGCAGCTTCACAGTCCAGGGAGGGGGGGATGCTGGCAGCCCCGGGCAGGGAGCACGCAGAGGCCGGGCGCCTTGTCCACTGGCCGCAAACCAAACCGAGAGGAGTCTGAGCAATCGTCCCTGGCGCATCCCTCCGCAGAGAGGCAGGGAGGAGGAACACAAGCTGAGGAGAGACACTGCGGGAGAGGAACGGCGGTGAGCAGGGGCTGGCTGGATCTGCTCCTCAAGTGGCACCCACAGCCCTTTCCCCACCCAATGACTTGGTGGGTCTCCCTGCTCCCACTGGGGTGGATTTGGCCCCATCACCCATCAGTGTAACCCAACCACATCTTTGGGTGGATGCAGGGGCTGAGCCTGAGCTCCCATCCCTCCTCCCAAGAGCCCAAGGACAAGCGAGACAAGGACCCAGCTGGAAGAGTAATTAATTACTTACTAACGAACTAACAAAACTGACGAGACTTCCATCCTTGCTGGGTAGCTTCAGAGGGAGGATACCAGCGCATCTGGAAAAGAAAGCCACGCCAGAGGTCTGTGATCTAGGATCTCAACCAGAGCCCAAACCTTCAGCTCATTCAGGCCATGTACAAAGTCCACTGAGTAAAGGTAGCTCCAGCATGGGAAAGGAGGCTCCAAGGTGAGCCCCAAATACTACCCAAGTAGCATCCCAACCTAGGGCTGCACCATGCCAGCCCCACACTGGCCAGCTCTGGCTCACCAGGCACTGGGACCCGGCCAGGTCCTCCCATAAGGAGGACAGCAGGATCCCACACATCTAAGAAGGAAGCTAGCACCCCATCTCAGGGCTTGCCTCAACTCTCAAGTACTTTCTGCTTATTGGCATAACCAGAAGACAGCCCCCAAATTCACGCCAATGCCTGGCCCCAGCTCACTACAACATGCAGAACACCACCATTGAAGCTAGGAAAGCTCCTCACCACCAAGCTATCTGTGAAGTTTACCGCTGCATAAGTGTGTGCAAGGAGGGGCTGTTCCCCCCCAGAGTCTTCCCACTCCCCCAAACCCCAAGTTTACATCTTTCCCCCAGTTCAGGTTCAGGTAGGGCAGAGGAGGCTCACTTTGGGCATGCAGCACCCCAGGGTGGTGGCTGCTCTGCCCTCAGCTAGCAGAAGGCAACATCTCAAGACCACACATTTAAACCAGACAACCTCTATGTGACATGCACGGGGTAAGAACTGGCTCATCCACCCCAGAAGAGACCCATGAACTTTTCTAAGACACGACCCAGCCATCAGAAGAGGCTCCAGGCAGACCACATCATGGGAAGAACTTGGTAGAGCTGCAAACCAGCAAGACTTGGAGGCTTCCCTAGCAGGTTGTTGTTGCACATCTACTGCTCAGGCCTGTTCCTTGCCAAGGAAGGACTGCTGGATGGGGACTCGAGGAGCAGATGTGGTAACAGCAACTGAGCAGACACCTTCCAGCCTGTCAATAGATACAGCACACTGGCAACATCCAGTAGAATAGCATCAGACATCCAGATGCTCCCATTTGGTCTGCAAGACCGGTACATCAGGCTGGGCTGAGTTAGCAGCTTCATGCCCGAGAGCAGTGGGAGATGAGTCTGCCACTTGACTGAGCACAGATCCAGCAGCAGGAGCAGCTACCAGAGCTCGGTCCCGCTGCTGTTTGCAAAGGGAGCTGAAACACAGCAGCCATCCCCACTCTCCTCCCTCCCCAGCTCATGGGAAGAGAGCACAGCCTCAGTAAGGACAGGCATTAAGAGCAGCCAGTACGTTCAGGGCTCTGAGTACCAGCAGAATGATGGACTTTGCTCTAAGATGGGTAGAAGAGAGGCAGAAAACCCCCTGGAGTCCAGCATGAACTGTTCCCCTTGCCAGACCATCCTGGCAAGGTTGTCCCCTTGCCTGAACAAGTCTGGCTAGATGCTCCCCTCCCAAGCACATGCACCACTCTAGGGCCAGACGGAAAAAGTATTTCCAGACCAGCTCCAACCCCTGTACATGGCACTCTCCCACTAAGAGGGACCCTTGGTCGAGGATAGGCAGACTTTCTTGAAGCAAGGTCCCAGGTCAGTTGGGCAGTGAGAGCTGCAGCCACAGCCAAAGCATCTAGTTTGGCAGAGGCTTTACAGCTCATCTAACCCCTCACGGCTGTGCCCAGCAAGGACGATTCTGCCAGCCTCTTTCTAACAGGGCTCTTGCCAGAGTCAGGTCTCCCCTGCAGCCTGTAACCATGCAAGAGACATCAAGAAAGCCACTCCAGGTTGAGATGACAGCTGGCAATGAGAGGGAAACAGGAGCTGGCTATTTTCTACCTACCTAGCAGGCAGCACACTGCCCAGCTGATACACTGGATGACACGCGCAACGCGAGTCTTGCTGCAACGCTACCCAGGAGTGGAGATGCAGACCTGTGTCCCCAACACCAGCTGCATAAGACCTGCACACAGGTCTTCAGAAGAGACAGAGCTGAAGACCAGGACACCCAGGGACTCAGTGACTGCCCTTGGATTACTCTCCAAGCTAGGCACATCTGCAGTGGGTCCCTTCAAACCCTACTCCCTTTATCCCTGTGAAAAACAGGAGTCTGACACCCGATGGAGCCAGAGGCTTTGCATTCACTCCTTTGTGCAGAGACATGCAGCAAACTGCCAAGACCTTGACACTGCAGCCTCCTCACAGGAGCTGCAGGGGACAATAAGCACTCACCTCCCAGAAAGCACAGCTGGCTGCTATGGCCAAGTCCTCCCTCCACCAGCAGAAGGACTGTGATGCCAGTAACTGAACAGCCCCGAGCATGAGCTCAGGGACCTCAAGTCCCTCTTCTTGTGATGGTTCCTACAGGGAAGAGCCCTGCAAATTTGCAGAGGTTCTGTCCTAGCAGAAGCCTCTCATCAGGTTAGATCTGCCTGATCGCAGGCTCCTGTTCAGCCACCAGCACCACACTTGAGGTAGCTGCCTGTAGCCAGGCACACTGGGTTGGTCGGACTCCTTGCCAGACACCTTCACAAGCCAAGTGGGTGCCACCAAGTCAGCTCCCAGCTAGCCCCATAGCTTGTTCCATGAGGCAGCAGACCAGGTGCATTCCAGTCAGTTCAGCCTTGGGTGGAGGGAATCGAGGGCATGACCATTACCAAGACCCTCCTCCCCAGTGATGGGTCCCATCTAGTGCCATGACCAAAGTGCTATCTTGGTGCCACACACACCGTGCCTTCACTTCTCCGTTCACCTTTGAGAAGGACCCAGCTCAGCTGCACCCTTGCTCCCCAGCCTGGGGCCACCACGCTGCTCTGGGGCATGGTTATCTCCTCGCACTGGCACAGGCCAGGAAGGCTCATAGCCCCATGTGGGAAGCGGCATCACTGACACCTTATGGAGCCACCACAGCAGCTACCAGTGCATGGATGGGGGTTACTCGCTCCCCCCCAGCCCTGTCACTGGGAGGTGCCTGCTCAGCAGAGCCACATCAGCTGTCCTCCTCCCTGACCAGTGTCTCCCACTCCACCACCCCTCCCCTTAACAGCTGGAAGTAGTTTCCTCCTGCCCAGCAGCAACAGGAAACCCCCCTGCATTCCCAAGGCTTCGAGCATTTAACCCCAAGAGCTGCCTCCATCCCACACCAGGCTCAGCATGAGCAGCACAGCTGTAGATGGGCAGGCACAGCAGCTGCACACATGCAAGACAAGCCATCCCTCACCCCACTGCCCAAGACTAGCAGCTCTTCCTCCTCAGATCCCCTCCTCAGAGGGTCTGAGCCAGCTTCTGCCCCACATGCACACCTCACCCCAAACCGGGCCAGAGCCTCCAGCACCTCCAGTTTCAACAGAAATCCTGCTTTTCTCCATTAGCTCTGGCACTAATAAACCTCCACTTCTGATGGACCACCTCTCCTTGCCTTCCTCCTGTAGGTCTCCTATGCTTGTACAGGCAAACCCAACCAGACCCACACTGGCCCCACCAGCCAGTAGAACAGCCCTGCAGCCAGAGGGGCTCAGCCTGGAGGCTGGCAGGAGCTCATGCAGGTGCAACGATCCTGGCTACAAGCCAAGGCTCTGACATGCTGACAGGATGAGGGAATGATCTGCCAGGTCTTTCAGCCCACAGAAAAATTAAAGGCTTGATGAGATGAAGCAAGAACACCCCCTCACTAGGAGGGATGTTTCTGAAACCAGCAGAAAGCAGTGGAAGAACCAGATTGGAGGCAGCAGCTAGCCAAGAAGACATGCTCTTTAGGACAGCAGCACCCAGAGCCATCTGGAAAAGGAGAGCAGCACCACAAGAGACTGCATAGGGTTGCCCAAGAGGATTGCAACCCAGCGGGCCAAGCCAGAGCACTTCCCTGTAGAGAGCAAATTTCTCTGAGGGCTTTCGGAAGATCTGTTCTCTCTCAAAATACTGTGTCTGTCAAGGAGGAAGCTGAGGAAGAGTGAATGGAGATATACAACACTGGGTGAGGAAAGCAGAGCAAGGCTTTTACTGGAAGAGATGCAGTTGTTTCTGGAGCTGCATTAGCTCACAGTTGGAAAGGAGTCTGGCCACACCACTGCAAACGTCTCCAGCTTGCCTGCCTGTAGGGACAGGACAGACACCGCCAGAAAACTGCAGCCAGCCTCATGCTGCCGTGTTCAACATCTGTCCCAGAAAACAGCTGGAGAAGAAAAATTTGTGCCTCTGCCTGCCACCTTCCAGAGGCCAGGTGAAACATCCAGAAGTGAAGAGCCCTTCCCTTGCTGCAGCACAAGACCAGCGCTACCTAAAAAAATCACAAAGAAATTATAAATGGGGCAGATAGACACCCCATTAGCACTTCACTCCCCTTGCCAAGTCCTCCATTGTCTCTCCCAATTACCCTCAGAATTTAAATTTCCTATCTTGCCCACCATCCTTATGGAGAGCGATTTAAAAAGAGAGGAGGGAAGGGAGGACTGAATACAGAGATCCATCTTCAACCCACCTTTAGCTTGGATGGCCTGCCTTTCCTCCTTAGTTATTTCTAGGTCTGCTCATCTTTGCTCTGCAGTCAGCCCCAGCATCTAGTGGAGCTCAGAGCTACCCCTACAATTGGAACAGACCCAGCCACCTCCCCAGGTACCAGAAAGTCTCCCTGTGCAGGCAGGGACAAAGCACTCCCTTGTGCTCCTGGGAGTTGGTAGGACCCCAACCAACATGTCCAAGAGCTGCACCCAGTTACCAGCTGCTGACACACAGAGTGGCATCTTCAATTGCGCTGCTGAGACAGCCTCACCCTGGCAAGTCAGGAGCACTTCATGGTCACTGCTTCCCCCAGGCTGCAGGTCACTGGGTACAAACCTTGGGCAGGTAACACTGGTGGCCAGCAAGAGCTGTTCTGCTCCAGCTGGAAACACAAGCTGATGGGAACATGACTCAGGGCAGGCAAGGACAGTTTGCAAAGATGCACCCACAAGGCACTAACATCATCCATTAGTGCTCTGTGGACACACACTTCCAGCCTCAGCAGCAGGCATTTCACCCAAGCCATCTGCTTCCAGGCTTCTTCAGGAG